CCTAGCTTCAAGCCCATTTAGGTTTTATAATCCTACAGAAAGATTTAATCCTTTTCTACCAGAGACCTGCTATTGTGATACCCTCAGCCACCCAGCACACAGGACTGCGGTGCCTTGCTGAGCAGTCGGAAGCAGCACAGCAGACACACCTCCTGGCAGGGACATTTCACTCTGCTGGGCTGCAGGACCTTCAGGACAAACAGAAAGTCTGTCACACCATCTACACCTATTTTCCCTGACTGAGAAAACATACAGAAGCAGAAGGGAAGAGGCAGCTCTGAACACACCACTGCCCCATGACCGCACACCCTTCCCCTCATGGCAGCAGCTCCAGCCCAGCAGTGCCCTGATAACCTGTGGCATCTCCTCTCACTGGAAACCCTCCACACTGGCACACATTCATTGTAAAACTGCTGGTGAAACCCAGCAGAGACACCAACTCATCTGTGCCACCCAAGCTCATTCCCACAGGGAGGATTTCGGGGCCTCCATCACCCAACGCAAAGGCCACTGCAGGAGGCTCTACCTTGCCAGGCACTGCCCAGAGCCACACGAACACCCCTCACAGTGCACAGGGGCTCAGGGCCAGGCAGAAGAGCCTCAGCTTGTACTTCTGCCCCATCTTGGGCTCTCCCAGCACTGTCTACCAGAGCCCGTGGCAGTCACTCTCCCCTGCCCTGGCCTGGCTGCTCTGTGGCTGCTGTTTCTCCCTGCAGCTCTGAGGAGCCTCAGGACAGCTGAGCCCTGCTGAGCCCCAGGGCTGGCTCTGCTCAGCTCTGGGCACCTTGGCTTTGCCTGAGCACAGACAGACAGATTCTGTGCCCTGGCAGCCTGTCACAGTGTGGGCGATGAGCTCATTTCATTAATGCCTGCTCCTGGTTTTCAGGTAGATAGATATGGTGTGTCATAATCCCAAGGGCAAATACAGGGACTGACTGTTACATATAGGTAAAATACTTTTAGGAATTGCTTTTCTGTGCCTCTGCCAGTTCACTGGTGAGAGGTCCTATGGGCAGCTGGGCAGCAGGTCACACACAGCCCATGGCACCCTGTGCACCCCTGAGCTGCTCATCCCAGGGAGAGCTGAGCAGGAGAGAGGAAACGGTGCCTAAAAATTGTCTGGAATATGCTCAGAGCAATTCAAGGCAAAGCTTTTCCACTCGTCGAAAAGGGTTCTTAACACTCTAAATAACTTGTTTTAATATCTTAATCCACAGTCATATTATTACTTAATAAAGTGACAGTTTTTCCTGTATATTTATGTATTTTTATTTGCTGCCGTGTATATTTTGCTTCTCGCTCTGCCTTTATTCTTGCTACACTTGTAGCTTCCTTCTTCATTTATGTATTTCTACCAATCCTGCAAGGTGTGTTTTGTGGCTGGAATAGGGCAATTTCAGGCAGAAGTGAAGCACTTAGTGAAGATAAAATTCTATGTTTTGCAGCTATTTTATGGTGAGGAATCTGCATGTTTGAAGTCTTGCTTTTACAAATTTCTTCAGTCTAAGCTTGAAAAGTCAAAACCTGGGCAGGCTTGGACTAGGATCTTTTAAAATGAAATACGTGGGACATACTTGATAAAAAGTTTACATCTGGGACTCAATTGTAATGTGGCTGGAGGCTACTAAACTCCTGTAAATCCAACTAACACGGCCAGCAGGTGCTGTAGTTGCATCTAACACTCTTGGAGGGGCATCCCTCTTCCTGTACACATTGTGATTGCTCCATGGAGCAGGATAGTCTCAAAAAGCTGGGCAGTGGAGAGACAAGATGCATTCTCTTTACAACAGCAGCCTTGTACTGCTTGTGGTTTTTTAACCCTAGCTGGCAACGAAGCCCCACACAGCTGCTTGCTCACTGCCCCCCCAGTGTTCAGCATCTCCAACAGGGCTCCATCACAAGTAATGGTTATTTGGGAAGATAAACATCATCACTCTGAATGTTCCACCCACCCCCTTTCTCCTTCTTCCCCAGCTTTAAATGCTGATCATGACACCACATGGTATGGAGTATCCCTTGGGTCAGTTGGGGTCAGCTGTTCAGCTGTGTCCCCTCCCAGATTCTTGTGCACCCCTAAGTCTCCTCACTGGTGGGGTGGGGTGAGAAGCAGGAGAGTCCTTGGCTCTGTGCAAGCACAGCTCAGTAGAAACTAGGACATCTCTGTGTTATCAACACATTTGTGTTTCCAGCACAAATCCAAAACATAGCCCTATATTGGCTACTATGGAGAACAAAACCTCTACCCCAGCCAAAACCAGCACACTAATGTAGCTTGTAGTAAAGTGTTTAATAAAGTACAGTATCAGAAACAATAGTCTATTAGAAAAGCTCAAAAGGTGAATACCATATATATTGTACTTATTACATTTTCAGTGATAATTTAAGAGTGAAGGATTTCTGATGGATCCAGCAGAGATAGAAACAACACAGAAACCAATTTCTGTCAATTTAGAACCAGAGATATGCAGGTGTTGAAAACACCTTTCTCACTAGGAAGAAAGCAAGCACTGACAGAGTATGAATTACTAATTATGAACTAAACACACCAGCAGTGGATGTCCAGTGCTAATGTGCTCCAAGCTCCAAGCTAATGTGTTCCCTGACAAATCAGGAGTGATCTGTAGTGCAGGTTGGAACTTGCGTCACTGGGTTTGATTTCATTTGGCTAAGTCATAGCCTTTTAGAGATGCAGTGATTCATCAGGCTGGCTGTGTGTGCACTGTCTGGTGCTGAAAGGTGTGATGTGCTGGTGTTCATTCGATATACCAGCAAGGAAACCAGTATTTGAAGCATTCCAATAACAAGTTCAGTGGGCTTGGGCAGGCTGGGAAGTGAATCTAGTCTGAGGAACCATAGCTGAGATTGCTGGTCTCTCTGTCAGGGGCTGCTCTGTTCTCAGCTATTGATCAGGTTGGTCCAGTTACCTACACGTGTACCCCAGCTGATGTGCAGCAGTAGGGCAAGCACAGAACAGGTCCAAGAATGTGTATACTCTGAAATACAATCAGGTCATATCCATTGTTGGGAACGTTTTTTTCCTCAACAGTCATTGATGCTTTGTTGAAGTTATAAAATTTACAGAGATGTTAACAAATATCACACCAGCCTTTTTGTGGATACAATATTGTTCATAATCACAGGTCACTAGCTGGTGACATATTGCCATTAGTACCAGACTCATGAGAGGCCAAAGTAAGAAATTAACTTCCAATTAAGATTGAAAATATTAATATATTATTCATCATATTGATAGCAGAAGAAAATTTGGGGTGTTTTTTTAAGTAGCCATTGGGGAAGGAAAGTTTGTCCTTTTTTTTTTTTTTTTTAAGTATAGATGCTAGGCAACTAGCACTTCCCCAGCTGTAAAGGTCTATGGTTAGTTACCATTCCCCTGACTTCTTTCACAGACCCATATTTGGGAAAGACTCTGCTTTCCCATGTGACAGCCACATAAGGAAGTAAGTCACAAGCTGTTGCAGAACCCAACTGAGACCTATGGGGGCAAAAAGAAATTTAGATCTTTGGGAACATTATCAAATAATAAACAAATTTGAGGGTTTAGATGAGAACAAATACACTGATTCAAAATAACGGGAATTCTTATTTCCTAATTATTTCCCCTAGCGTTTCTAAGGGACTATTTTTCAAAGAGGAAGGTTACACTGACTACATTTTGGCTACATTTGTACCTGAAAAAAATTAAATCACCATTAGTGACTGATACTGCAATTCCATGATTGATATCAGGATGTGCATGAGCAGGCAGTGACGTACTCTGTGTATGCTAGAAATCATTCACTGGCTTTTGTACCATCAGTTTGCAAAGAGTTATGCTGTTACACCTCATTGCTATCACATTCACTGAATGTTGGTTGCCAATAATGCTCAGTTGATAATTTACATTTTGCAAGGATTCCAAAGTTTACTTCAGTTGGCTAAGAAACATTGCTCAAGTCTCTTCCTCCTTAATCTCCATCTGTGTGGAGAAAATGAGGAAATAAATGACCCAAGGAAGTGATTCAACATTTACAGAACTTGGTGCTGTGCAGGCAGTGATGTAAATCAGCATCTCCCTTCACTGGCAGGTAGATTCTGCATCAGCCAGCATTTTTAACTGTGTCAATCTCAGAGATATCATGAGGGTTTTTTAAATAATCAGAGAAGGGATAACCTCATTTATCAATGGAGAACCTGTAAATAAAGAGAACAGGGGTTTCCTGGAGTTCATCAGCACAAATGACTGCTGCAGGTGATGAGCCTCAGGACTTACATTTTCTGGAACTCAGTTTAAAATCTACCTTTCTAAAACCTTTTTTACCCTTGATCTTCCTTCATGAGTTCTTAAAGATAAAAGACCTCATAAATCATTCTTCCAAAACTCTGTAAGTTGAGGAAGAAGAATGAGTACAACATTTTTGTTTTCCTTTTTCATTCTTTGGGAAGTACCAAATTATATTAGCTAATGGTAGCATATATAGGCAAAGAAAAGGACGAGTTTTCCAAGATAATACTGCTCAACACAGAGCAGAGGTCACTAAACAGATCACTGCCTTGATATTCAGAGATGCTGAGATATGATAGATTCTTTCAGTCTTTCTGAAAAGCAGGGCCCATGTTCCTAAAAACATCTCTAGTTGCAAACTCCCTTTCCATGCAAAATGACTGGAGTTGCTTTCCTTTTTTTTCTCTTTAAAGAAAGTAATGGCTATTTACACTTGCTATCAGGATACTCACATCAGGAATTCAACTAATTATGCATGCACAATCATCAAACGGTGCACCAAAGAGAATGTTCATACATGCTGAAGAAGAGAATACAGCTCTGTAATATGAAAGGCAATTGTAGTGTCAAAGATTTATCAATTAGCTAAGGACACTACAGTCCAAGTTACAGAATACTACATAAGGAAATAAAAAAGGATCAAGAAAAGAAAGTATTAGGATTTAAAACCAAAATTTCTGAATAGAAAATAATATTAATGAAAACTTTAATAGGTATATTATTTTCAAATGTTTTATTTAGAGAACTATGAACTATTTTCTAATAATGCCCTTTACATAGTTGCATCTATAGAAAGCTACTGGAGTGAGAGCAAAAAGATGTGGCATTGAAAGAATTTTCCATCAGAAACGATTGGTTTATCTACAAAAGTAAACCAAATACAAATAATAAATCAAAGAGAACATGACAGAAATATTTACCCTATCAAATAGAAATTCAGTGTCAGAATTTGGCCTTGATTTGTGAATGTAGGAAAATACAGTAAGCAGAAAGTGAACAGAGCACTACAGCTCTTCATTTCTGGCTAGAAAGTTGTCAGTACAATGTAAACAGAGCATTTCTAATATCCTCAGATTAACAAATCATAAGTCATTGAGCCAGGAGTGAGGGAAACTATACTAGTTTTCTACATGGTTGGCAGCCAACAGCTTTTTACAGGCTGCCATAGATGCGTTTAATTACATCAGCCTCTTCCTTGTCCAGGATGCCCTTGTCCACATAAGCATCAGCTTGCTGATCAATGAAATCTCTCAGCTTTGAAAGATCATAGTCTGAAAAATAAGAATTCATTTGCACAGTGAGTCATTGCCATCATACAGCTTCACCTAAGAAACAAGGTCATCATAAAGTTTATCCAACAAATGCACTTCATCAAATGTGAATTCACTCTAAGTGCATCTTGTGAAAACAATAAAAAACCCCAAACCACCTGCACAGTATTTTTACACATCATAATGCTTTTAGCATTGAAGAGGAATAATCATCCCTTGCTCTTGATTGATTGTTGTCAAATGCTAAAGTAAGAATATTTTCTGGTCCAGAGATATGATGTTCTAGTCTGCACAGCAAAAGCTGTTAAAACACTATTATTTTCACAACTGTCATGGAATCAAAAGGCTATTTCCTATTTGAAATCCCAGTGAAATTCCCACTTAGTACAAACACTAGTGAAAATTCAAGAAAGCAACTTCCTGAAAATAGATCAAAATAATACAATTATTTACCTTGATGCAGAACATAATATTCTGACATGAAAAAATACTGCAGTGAGATGTCTTTGTGACAGTGTTAGTGTCAAAGTGCTTTTTGACAATCTTCATCTGTCAATCTGCAATAGAGTGCTGAAAGATCCTTCCTCCTTTTCCAATAGAGGAGTGCATCTTATGCAGCCTGATTCACACCATATGCATTAAACAGACTTTTCCTATCCTGGAAATACATCACTATTTTCCATGAAAAGAATTCTACTGCAAAGGAATCTTTCAAATAACAAAAAAGTATCCTATTGTGTAATTGTAACTCTGGCAACAGATTCAGTAGATTCACATATAAACACAATAAAATTTCAGGTGTATAATGTGCTGCATAAAATGTAAAACTTAGTAGTTTGGAAAACATCAATGTTTTAAGGGTTCATACTAAGCAAAATGAATTAGTATCTTTTGCAGGAACACACACATTCTGAATTTTTCAGTATAAATGACTTATTGCACTGGCAGAGCTTTCAGAATGCATTAGTGCTGATTTTGTAGTGTAATCCAATGTATAACATCATACAACAATACATGGAAGGACCTTCCTTCAAACTGTACATTCCTAATAAAACAGACAGTAATGACTTTCTCTCTTTTTAGGGTTCAGTGACCAAAATTGGATAGAAATAGAAAGACATTAAGAAGAAAATTAAAGCTCGCTATCATTTTTATAACAGTAGAAGGCAATTTCAAATGAGTAATACAGAAAATTGATATTCAAAACTCCCCACTCCTGCAGAGGTGTCCTCCGTGTATCTGAGTGAAGAGGAATTTTGTCATTTGCTGCACTGAGGGAAGGATTTGCTGTCTGGTCTGTTACTGCCATTACGTAAGACAATGTAACCTGCTTGTCTCTCCATCCTTGTGAGCAATGGGGACAAATAGTACCGAGCAATTTCATGACAAGGATGTGAGGTTTCATTCATGCTGACAGAATGAGGGTCCTCAGTGAAAGATACCAAGGAATGGAAATGGAAGAACAAATAATGAATGAATATTATATCCACATTAAAATCCCTGAGATTATTTTCCTTCTAGAATAGCATTTATAACTCCTAGATTGTTATGTGGAGGTGTGAAGGTTTAATTACTACACATTCTGTATGGAATTACAACCATTACAGTATTATCCAGTTCTGGCTAATTTGTATATCTCATGGCAAATTAATTTGATTTTTTTTCCTATATATTGAGAACTGCTAATTTCTAATACTTATTTACAACCTATTGCAATTAGAAAAATCAGCTTTGGGTTATATTCACCATAACAGCTGCAGCGTTACACTGAGCTGTGAAACAGCTCCAGTAAATGAAGTGAGGTTTGATTTGCATATCCAAATCAAGCCATTTGCCATTGCAATTAATTGTAGAATTTACTTGCATTCCTAAATGGTTACTGTTAGTGTTAGAAAGCTATAAATTACCTGAGTGTTCTGTGAGAAATCTGCACATGCTATTTGCCTGTATTAGTTAAATTGTCTGGCAGTTTTGTGCTTTGGAGCCCAACAGAACATATTTTCTAGTGAAATTCATACAAAGTGAAGGATCTACAAACATTTGCCCCAAGAAAGCCTAAACCTCTTCAAGTACCTTCAGTGAGCAAACCAATCCATGAGTAGGGATGGAAAAGACTGACCATTTTAGCACATGAATTACTCTTGAGAATCAGTTTCTGCTAGCTCCTAGGTGTGAGCTGGAAGTGGAGAAATGATTGATGAGCACTCCAATAGCACCTAATCTTGTGCTGAAGAAACACAGCACAATGCATTCACGCTTACATAAGCTTACCCTGACTGCACTTCTTTTAACTTCATCCCAGGGGAAATGAATTAGCATTTTACGAAAATATAAAGTATGGGAAGGCACAATAAAGATGATGTATCAGAAGAGTAAGAACACTATTCTAATTCTGTCATAACTTATACTCACTTTAAGGCCCATTTCCATTGCCAGAGGACAATAAAGATATTCTAGTGCAAATGAAAATCCATCTACACAGAAACGTATGCATTCACAGGCAGATAAAATGCTATTGATCTGCAGGCACAGCCATTTTCAGGCTGCAGCAGTCAGAGGAAAGGTTACTGTGAAGAGGAGTGAGGGGCTGCCCAGTCAGTTTGTGTGCTACAGAGATGTAATCTCACATGACTGAGATCTAATTACTATAATGAGTGCAATGATAAGCAGAACCGTTTATTAGAATTGGCAGGAAAACTCTGGAGCAAATATGTATCCCTGCTGCTAATTGTCATCACTGCCATTGTGTGGAAACGATTTAGAGATGGGAATTCTTTTCAAAGTCCTTCCTGTTACAGTTTTTTTAGAGAAAAATTTAGAGATGGGAATTCTTTTTAAAGCCCTTCCTGTTACAGTTTTTTTAGAGAAAAATTAATGTGTTGGGCTGCAGGCATGCACTCATCTCTGAAATGTAATTCACATGTACTTCAGTTGACAGTGAGGATGGATAGATTACCCAGGGCTAATCTCATCTCAGACCACCCTCTGCTCAGCTGGTGCCAGAAGGATCCTTCTCGCCAGGTGCCAGTCATAGCCCAGGGATGGATCCCTTGGCTAGGAGCCTTCACTTCCAGAGTGGGTAATGGCAGAACACACAGCCATGGCAGGGAAAAGGGACAGGAGGCTGGTTTTATGTAAGATCATGAGGGATAAATAAAGATCTGTGAAAAATAAGTGAGAAATCCTGCTGCTGTGAGCTCCCTGCCACCAGCTCTCACACAGCCCTGCCTCTGAGGAAGAGTCAAATGGTGGGACAGCTGGTGAGCATTCCCTGGGCAGCTGCTTCACTCACTGCTCCCTTCCACACAGCTTTGCGTGTGAGAGCTACAAGTCATTTGAGTTGATTTGGGCTGGAATCCAATGTATTATGGTGCTAGTGACATAAGTTTGTATCTTAATGATTCATGGTTATGAAACAAAACTCACTGCTGTTTGTGAAGGCAGGTTAGCCAGATGCACTGAGCTTTTCTAGACATATCCAGACATTTCAAATACATTTATGTCATGTATAAAATCATAATTAAAAAGTATGTTGAACTAAGAAATGAAGCACTAGACAAAACTGGCACACTGTTACAGGCAGACAGACCACCATGACTGTCTGGACAGCACATAACTGACTCCTGGCTGGTTAGACACTGTTTTGTGGCTAATGGCTGGACATTAATCTGCCTTAGTTTACTATTTTCATTCATTACCTTAACATTTACATAACCTGTATTATTTAACTCTAAGCACAGTCTCACATAACTATTATTTAACTTAGGACATAATGCTATGTTATATGACACTATAAATTATCCTCTGTGTAATGTTTGTGGTGCCTACTCCAATATCAAGGCCTTTTCCTTCATACCTTCTTTGTTACCTTGTTTATTGTGTTTTTTCAGCCATTCTATGTTCTTCCTGATTGCTTCCAAATATGCCTTAGATTTACCTAGAGGAAAGGATGAGAGAGAAATCAGGCACTTACACCAATGATTGATGCATCTTGCTTAACTGGGTGAAGTTGGTCACAGTGAAGACAGATTAAAACTATTCTTAGTTTCTGTTTCAAAGCTGAGTCCTGTCAAACTTAGTCAGGCAAAATTCCCACAGATGGCTAGCAGGTTTTGTCTATGCAAGATGAGTCATACACAAATTAGGACCATGGCTTTTTTTGATCATTATACCTAACTTTTGGTGGTATCCACAGAAACTGAATACTTGGATTGAAGACAACCTGTAGCTTTTTGGTCATCATACTTGTTTGGCAAAGGTGAAGTTGTTGAGATAGGAAGGAATGACTTATTTAAGTCTATGAGCTTTGAGTATCAAAACTCCTCCACACAGTAGTACTAACAGCATACAGCCCATCTAAGACTGAGATATTTCAGAAAGACAAGCTGAACTCTAGCTACTATATTTACCAAGAAAAATTACCATGATAACTCCTTGTTATAGCTGAAATTTTAAAGTGATGGCTATTTTTGGACCAGAAAGCACACAGGACAGAATTAGTTCAAGGATTACCTAATAAGGCCCCTAAGGAAATATTCCAGCTAATGGATTTTGAATTCTTAACTTGGCTGGAGCTTTATTGATGAAGTGTTCTTACATTTGTCAGGAATAAAAACCTAGTGTGATTAGCATGAAAAAGGTTACTACTGCCAACTGTGCATGTCTGCTCCAGTTAGTAAGTGCATACAGTATTAGATGTACCCTAATTTTTGAGCTGGCAGTGCAGTGACTTTATAGTAAGTTACTCTGTGAAAGAGCAAAGGGCACTGCATGATGAAACAAAGGACTAATTACTGATCCAGTTCAAATTTCTAAAAAGCTATTGGGCTGAATATTTTTTCTGAAGGTAAAGGAAAATTACCCAAACAAACTGAAAAGACAAATCTGCAAAAGATAAACAAAATGTGCTATTTATCACTTCCCATGGGTATTGAGACAATTTTTCTTTACTGTGAAATCAGACAGCCCTCTTGAGCTATTTTCCTCTTCTGTGCTCAAATAACCACTGCTGGAAAAAATGCCAACTTCCATCTGAGTGGCTAATAGTTCCCATGGCTGCACTGCCCACAGGACTGAACCAGGTGACCAATGGACTACAATCTACTGAAGCCTTGATTTCTACAATTCATCACTCAACATGCTGCAGTGAAAGCACATGAATTCCAAAAAGTACAAGCATTGAACAGCATCAGTGCAAAACAGATGATAAGCACTTAGTTTAACCTACTGACTACAAAACATATCCAGCTTATGCTGGATCCTCAGCAGTAAGAACTCACTGAAAGGCTTCTGACCCAACAAATATTCTGCTTCAAAACTCCAGCACCATAAGGAGGCACACTGTCCTCTGCAGATCTGTTTTGAGATATAGCAGCTGATTTGCACCCAGGTGACAGTACAGTCTAATGTGGCCTGGCACATGGCATTATGTGTCATGCTTGTTTTGAGATATGGCAGCTGATTTGTCACCCAGGTGACAGTACAGTCTAATGTAGCCTGGCACATGGCATTATGTGTCATGCTGAGGCAACTGGGATAATGACAGTACTACTGTGCTACATTTGCTTAGGGAGACACTAACTTACTGTAACAGGTTTTCAGTTGCTGATAGCCCTTAACCTCTGGCAGTGAGTAATACAAATGGTGTCACTTTGCAGAACTTTTCAGTACTTTTCAGCACCAGCTTGTTCTAACACAAACTATAGAAATCAATGCGCCCACTCAGATTATTGAATATTCTGAACATCTGATTTCACCGAAAAGTCAGAGATGCAGAGAAGCAAAATCTCTCTGAACTACTGTGTCAAACTGTATTCCATATTACTCTCACAAGGGGTGATGAATTCTGTGAAAGGTTATGGTCTTACTCAGCAAGGGATACAGTGTCATATATGTAACAGTAAGCAAAGAAGTACACTTCCAAGTCAAGCTGTTGTGTGCTGACTCCCAGTGACTATAAACTGAAGATACTTATCCTAACACAAAAGAAAAACAATACCAAAGATAGGAAAATATTCTAATCACATGGAGAGTACATATGTAGCAAAAGCAATGGCTATTTGGTACCTCCAGACTCTTCACTGTTTCCTGCTGCATTTTGTCCTTCATTTTTTGTAGAATCCTTTGAAACTTCATATTCCTTTTCCATTTTAGCTGCTTCTTCCTTTGTGCTGTCTGCTTCTTCACTACTCTTGTCTAAAGAAATAACAAGAGCAAACAATTTTGTATCAAATGTACCAAAAGCACTTCTAAATCACATCAACAAGATCTTTGGCAAGTAAAGCGTTTTGACTGATGATTGAGGGAGAATCTCATTGGACTCTGTTTCAAAATGGTTTCTAAAGGTCATCTCTACTCCAGACCTCTGGAAACTGGAATTCCTGCTCCTGTTCTTACAAACAGTAACAGAATATAGGTTACTACAACGCAATAAAATGTAGTTCATAAAGGCACATTTCTTTGAGCAGAGAAAAATGATATGAAATTTGCATTCACTAGATCAAAAGTTGACAAATAATGGGTTTTTATTGTTTAAGTATTCAAAAGCATTGATACAGCTTGGTTTTGTATATGTGTCATGTCTGGACTCCACTGAAGAAAAATACAGTGAATATATTTCTCAAAGACTGACCAGTTAAGTGAAAATTTCTCTCTTGTGTGTTTAGACATCCAAGCTGTGGCTACATGTCCATGAGGCACTGCACCTTTAGCAGTCTGACTGCTAAAGCAATTAGCATGCTGTAGCTGAACAGGTTAAAAAGGTCTTATTCAGGAGGTAAAATTGTAGAATAAGTACCTGCTGGTAGCTTTGCTCTGGTTTTAGTGGAGGGGTTCTCAAGCTTCTTCTTTGTTTGCTCAGCTATCATTGTATCTAGGTTTTCTAGAAAACAAAGCAAAACAAAACCAAACCCCAGTTATTCTTCAACAGATATGATGCAGAATCTATACTATATTCTCCCCAACACCAGCCTGAATGGTAAGTAGAAATCTAAACGTTGCCTCTGAAGAATTAATGCACAGCCAACACTAAAAGAACAAATAGCTGTGTGGAATGGAGATCAATCTTATTCTAAAAAACTAACAACTAGATCATGAAAACAGCTGTATCAAACAGAGCCAATATGCATAAAGGCAGCAAAAATGTGCATATATAGTCTATATTTCAGTCACGTAAGTCACAAAATATAGATGACTATCTGTAGCAATTTATTCTGATGAAAGCAATGAAAGACTTTAATTGACTTCACAGAGAATACAGGACTATGAAATATGTGCTTCATCCTGGTGAGAAAACACTATCCCAAAATGCTTAACTGCCTGGATTGTATATGATTTCATTGGAAAAGAAGTCCAATAAAAGGTTTAAAATTATATTTAGATTTTAAAAATGTAAATTAAAGTGATTAAAATGAATATTTTCTAACATTGCTGAAGTCAAGCATTTACCTGAAAACCCACTAGACAGCTGTGGTCATGTATACAGCTCTAGAAGGCTAGAAAGTAAGTTCCTATGCAAATTTCGGGGCTGAGCTTGTCTAATTTGAAAGTAAAAGCATCTCTCCTTCAAGATGGATGTTTTAGATATAAACAGTGTATGCTTATGTGGGGAAAAAAAGTCCTTTTGATACCACATTTAGTAGATATTCAAAATACAGATCATCATGCAATCTGCCATATTTCCTCAGTCATATTATGGACATGGTGCAGAATTTTCCCTCCCCTTATCAAGCTTCAGTTATATCACGGATCCAAAATTTGCTACATATAAGCTAGTTGGTGGGTATTTTTGAGAGAATTGGTTTTGAAATGTCAAAATTCCTTTCATATTAACAACTAAAATATTCAGTATGTGATGTGGTAACTGTGGCAGAATAGATACAATAGGGCTGTCAAATATCTGAGATCATATTTTCTGTGTAAGGCCAAGTTTTACCCATCAACTGGGAAGATCTTTTTCCATCAGAAAGATACTCAGCACTGAAACCTAAAGCCTAGTTTTTTAGCAAGCATATTTCTGTTCATGGCAGATCACCATCAGAAATTGTGCCTGCCACCTGATGAGAAATCACATAATCCTGTCTGCCTGAGTCCTCTATATTTTGTTGTTTACATAAAGTTAAAGTGTAAGCAGTATTTGTTGGCATCCTGCCTGATTGCTGCCTTCAATTCTGCATCACATGATGTTGATTTTTTTGGTGAAAACTGTTTTCATTTGGTACCTATCCTTTTAATGTGATTCCTGATCCTGCCATATGCCCTAAATAAAACAGGGCTGGGCTGTGTTAGAAGCTGGATCAGACATAGTGCTGAAGAAAAAAACAAGCTAGAATTATAGTGGTGGTATTGATGCCTCACTAATCACTTGATCCAAAGCTTATTGAAAGGACTGTAAACATTCCTTTCAGCAGAGCTTAAGATTCTATTTTTTATCCTGAATCAGTACCATACTAGTATTT